TAGGATCCAGAAACTGCCGAGGCTGTTGGTCGCATCCTCCGACGGACACCTTTACATCTACAACCTGGACCCTCAGGATGGAGGAGAGTGTGTCTTGATCAAGACTCACAGGTAGGGTTGCTAGTTTTCAGCTGGTTTTGTAGTCACCACTGGGCCAGGAACAATGAGGAGCTTGATCTTCGGTGCTCTCGCTTTCCTTTCTCCTTCACCGGCAATCCCGGCGCGCACCTCTAGGGGGCGCCTGCTCCGAGTAGGGCTCAGTGTCAGGCCGAGTGTCAAGCTCACCATGCTGTGTGCTTCTGGGAGAGTGAATGACACCCAACCGTCTCCCTCCTCGTGCGTGATGGGGGCTCAAAAATATTTCCCGAACGGAACTGGAAAGTTCTCGTGACTTCCGCGCCCCAGCACAGGATGGCCCACTCCTGCTGTGGACAGGACACTGAGCTGCCCACGCCCCTCCCCCCGGAGCACCCCTTGCGAGCACATCTTCGAGTCCTTGCCTGAGTGACCCGAGTGACCCGGGCAAGGCCGAGCGCCAGTCCTCCCTTATTAAACACTAAAAAGGAAGGGGTCATTGTGAGTCGCATGACCCTGACCATCGAGGTCCCTTCCGTCCGTCCGCACTGACCCAGCAGGAGGGCCCTGAGGGGCTGGAACTAGTGGCTGGGCGTGAGCTTCCTGGTGCTTCTCTCGTGGGCTCCTGGGTGCGTGACGATCGCACTTCTCCCTCTTAACTGCTGCCATTAGGTTGCTTGGCTCAGGAACCACGGAAGAGAATAAAGAAAATGACCTCAGACCTTCATTACCTCAGTCCTATGCAGCAACAGTAGCCAGACCAAGCGCATCTTCCGCCTCCACGGTGCCAGGTGAGCGGCTGGTGGTGGGGACATGCCTAGCAGGGGCCCTCCCTCCTCCCCTTCACTGTTACCTGCGGAGGGAGCGCTCTCCCCAGCCATACGAGGCCATGGGAGGAGCCTCGACAGGCAGCTTCCTGAACCTGGCAGGCCGGGCACTGGCTCGTTTCCCTAATAAGTTAACCCTTGGCCTCTGAGAGTTGGCAAACCACTGGGAGGTTTTGGGCGCCCGGGTGGGAGGTGGTGAGAGGAGCCTGCCCGCCTCTCGGGGCTCGGAGACCATCCGTGGTGGGGATTTCGACTCCCCACCGTGGATGGCGGCCTCCCTGGTCCCCGGGCCTCCCGTTTTCTGAGGTCCTGGCCTGGGTCGTGCGCAAGAGGAGACCCCGTGGCTTCTCTCACGCCTCCTTCTTGGTTTCCAGGTTACTCTGAGGACGGCGGGGCGCTCCGAGGAGAGGTTATTCCCGAACACGAGTTTGCCACGGGACCAGTGTGTCTTGATGATGAGAATGAATTCCCCCCTGTGAGCATTAGGAATCCTTAAGAGAGCGGCTCAGTCTGTGTGCTTCGAGGGAAGCCTTCGCCTGGGGCAGGAGGCGCAGGCCCTTTCCCCATCGGCTAGTGTAGAGCTAACCCTCCTAATACCCAGAGGCCCGAGTGCTGGTCGTGCTGCGCGCTGCCCTCTCTGCAGACCAGCCCGCAGGTGGCGCTCCACACGGCAGCACCGAGTAACAAACACTAACCCAGGTGGTCTGGTGGCCTCGCTAGCTACCTCCGGGCGGAGTCCTTGACTTGGCTTCCTTAGCACTGTCTTGGCTGCTGGGTGCACTCTTCGTTTCCTGAGGCTCCTGAGGGCGCTTTTGCAGAACGCTTAGGTCTCTGGACAAAAGATGGTGACCTAACAGGGCTGGGCCACTCTGCTCTGCCCTCCAGCCGACAGGGCAGACCCCAGCCTCAGCGGCAGCAGCTACAGTCCTTGTTCGCTCACGGCCAGCCCATGT